CAATAGCCATTGTGCTGGGTGTTAATATTGTTATTATGGCCATATGGCGCTTACAACGTTTACAAAGGTGGCGGAGGGAGTGTTGAAACTGAGGTTTTGAGGGGTGTACAGGAGTTTGCTCAGCCAGTGTTCACATCCCAGTCTAGCCACTTACTGTGAGCAAGTCACTTCCCTTCTCTGGGTCTCGGTTTTCCTGTCTACCAAAGGCAGATAAAATAGTCCACATCCTGCCAGCACGGGCCTGCCCCGAAGCCACTCTCCCTGTGTGTCCACCCCTCAGCTCCACTCTGGCAAACACAGCCCCAGATCTCCTGCAGACAGGGTCGGGGATGGGGACTCGATGCTCAGAGTAGCAGGGCCCAGCGACGGCTCTGGCAGTTAGGCAGTGCGCAGTCTGTGTTGGAGGAAGAGAAGCAGGAAGGAAGGGTTGTCTGGGGCGTCTGTGTCTTAGTCCCTGACACACCGCCACCTCGCAGGCTGCCTCCCACCCTCACCCCCTCCTGCAGACCCTGCATCGGAACCAGCTGTGCTCGCCAGATGTTCCTGGTTTGCCCCCAGATGTGCATCGCCGGCTCCTTGGCTGCCCCAGCCTCCCCGTCCCCTTGTGGGGTGGGGCCGGGCCCTGGGGCTCTCCGAGGGAGGGGGCGCGTTTTTGTGGGCTGTGGAATTTGATTGTTGTTTTGCAGAACCATTGCCTTGAGAGGGGGCCCAGGCCCCGGATGAAGCCCCCGACCCTCCGGGGTCCTCAGTTTCCCTATCAGGCTCAACTGGGGCATCAGCACAGGTGGGGAAACAGACCCCACCTAGCTGCTGACCTCCCTCTACCCCCTGCAGGATCGCACTGAGTTCAGTGGCCCTCCATAGAAGGGAGGGGGTCTTGGGCAGACCATTGTACAAATGGGGAAACTGAGGCTCAGAGAGGGGAGCGTGGCTTGCCTCCCAAGTTTCTCAGCCAGGACCAGGCAGAGCCTGATCTGATCTCAGCGGTCCAAGTCCCTGAGCTGCACCTGCAAGACTTTTGGCCTTGCTCACTCACACATCTGTCCCACCCCACTCACCCTCCAGGAGCCGCTCAGTTTTGCACCTGGCTTGCTAGGCCGTGGGCAGCCACCGCAGCCCCCAAAGCTCCCAGGTCGAGCTCTTCTCTGAATATGGGGAAACTGAGTCACGGGATAACAGGAGTTGGGGGGGAGCACCCCATGAACAGTGCAGAGCTAGGGCTCTGAAGGATCAATAGGCGTCTGCTCAGTGCAGAGGCTCCAATTCCGGGTCTTCTCCAGATTAGAAGAGAGGACTAGGTAGAGAGAGAGGTCCTCTCCTCTTCTTCCTCCCTGCCTTGCTTCCCCCAAGGCCAGAAGTTCTGCCAAACAAAAGGTTACTGCCCCCAAAACTGGGCATGCGTGGTGGGTGCCCCCTGGGAAGCATGGTGGGAAGGTTGAGGCCCCGGATGCCTCATGGACTAGCTGGACATTCTGAGTTCATATTCTCCTCCCTTCTGGCCCCAGCATGGAGGGTGCTGTGGCCTTCAGCTAGAAGTGGGAGTTGACCCTGGTCCTCCTAGTTGCATTCCGGCTGCTGTGGCTCCTGGAGAATGACGACATCCCCTCTCTGGGTGGCAAGAGTTCTTCAGGTTGTGGACCTCGTCCCCAGGATAGAGAAGGGATATCAGGCCCTGTCTTGGCAGCATAACTGGCACCTGAGTTCCAGCAGGGGTGATCCCAGGCAGGCAGCAGTGGCCAGGGCAGGCTGTTCCCTCCAGAATCTCTGTGCCTCTAGCTTCCATCCCTATCACCGTTGACACTCACTGTGTGCGCCACCTCTGCAGCCTAGGTGCATGACCATGGTGGGATGCAGGAGTCACTGGACAAGCCCCGGACCAGAGAGCAAATGATGGGGATCCTGCACCTTGAGTGAGCGCATCCATTGCGGTCAGGGGTCCCCCGTGTGTGTGAGCACACCCAAGTGTGCAGAGCCCCAGTGTGCGCATGTCTCTGTGAGAATGGACATGTGTGACATGGATACGGGTGTGTGTGGAAACTCCCAAATGTGTGACTGTGACAGTGTCCACGTGCAAGGGTGTTTTGATGTGTACGAAAACACAACACCCAGGGGCTCGAGGGTGAAAATGCCGAGGACGTGAGGGTGGCCATGGCTGTGTGTGCAAGCAGAGTAGCTCTGGGTGTGCAAGTGACGCTGTTTGAGCGAGTATGTGTGTGAGGTGGCGTTTGTGACAGAGCCTGGTGGGGGAGGGAGGGGACAGAGTGCAAGAGGAAAGAAGGCTGGGGTGTGCAGGAGTGTGCATGCAGGTGTGAGCCGCCATGCTAGGGAGGATCCCTCCGTGGGTCTGGAGACTCCAGGACACACATCACGCACACATGGTCTCCTTCCTGGGGCTCTCTGCCACATCTGTGTCACCCCCTGCGCCACCCCCCTCGGGTGGAGTCTGTGCCAGAGACAAACCAGTTGGGTGACCCCCTGACAGAAAAGCCATTGTTAACCATGCTTATCAGTGGCCATTCACCCCTGCTTGCCTGTCCCCCACCCCCCAGAGCTCAGGGTGGGGGGTCGACAGCCCCAAGGCCACCTGGCCTGGTGTGACCAGGCCATTCTGGGGCTGGCTCCTTATTCATTCTCCCAGTCCCCTGTGAAGCCATCTGCAGACCCAGATGACCAGAGCTCAAGGCTTGCTGCAACCTAGGGGAAATGAAGGCACGCTGCTCCAAGACTTGGGTGTGAGGGTGAGCAGAGTGCAGGCTGGGTTCTTCCTCCTGCCAGACCACCAGCATTCAAATGCTGGCTGTGTGACCTTGGGCAAGTCACTTTAATGCTCTAAGCCTCAGTTTCCCACCCAGAAAATGGGGAAAAGCATATTCTCTGCTACTTAGGACTCCAGTGGGGTCGAAATAACTTCATGTAGTTAAATTTGTAGAATTGGTTCAGGGGTGGATTTTGGCAACAAAAATTCCAGGGCTGATTTCTGCTTGCTGCCTGACCCGCCCAGTCCTCTCCCTGCTACTCTCCTCCCCCTCTCTCTTTACTCTCTGCTGTAGCCACACCAGCCTCCTCGATGCTCCCCATCATGCCAGGCTCGGTCCTGCCCCAGGGCCTTTGCACAGGCTGTGCCCTCTGCCTGGGATGCCTGCCTTCAGATTTTCTTGTAGCCAAATTCTCACTCTTGGACTTAGCCCGAGTGTCTCCTCCTCAGGAAGGGCTCCCCCAGTGACTCTAATCTCTCTCACCACCCTGTCACCCTGTTGCCCTGAACCATTTGATTCTTTCTTGTGTGTCCTTGCAAACTGTCTTGGTTCCTACAGCATCCTCGGTGCCTGGCACATCCTAGGTGCTCAGAAATGTTAGATGACTGAGTAGATGCACATGGAGTTACTGAGAGGATGGAAAAGGAATGACACAGGCTGGCGGAGTGGTTCAAGTGGTAAAGCGCCTGACTTGCAAGTAGAGGCCCTGAGTTCAAACCCCAGTGCCACCACCAAAAATAAAAAATAAAAAAGACAACACGACACTCGAAATCTGTGGCCTTCCTATACAGTCAGTGCTTAATAAACAAGGGTGGCTTTCCTGAATTCTCCACAGACATGACACCATGGACTCCCTGATGTGGGACCTGATCCACCTTGTTCCTTCATTCAGCAGGTGTCTAATAAGTGCTTATTATGTACAAATGAGCTGAGCGAGCTCTGGCCTCCAATGCGGAGAGCCCTGGGTTCATCCCCAGTACTGCACACACACTAATAAAGAATAACAAGTACTGCTAATAGTGGCAAGCCTCTACCGGTTTCGTGCCTCAGTTTCCTCAACTGTAAAAGGGACTCAGCATCAGGCCTGGTATACAGCCAGTGCTTAATACGTGTGCGATGCTATACGTGGGTGATGCAGGGGGGAGGAGGCAGTTCAATTCCAGGGCCCAGTCCATGCAAATCGCATGCAAACGAGATGCAAATCGCTCCGTGACGTGCGCCCTGCGCTGCGCCGCCCGCAGTGCGCACGCGGGGCGCCGGCGACCCCGGGGCTGAGCTCAGCGGGCCTGGAGCTGATGGCGTCCAGCCGCTCCCAGCGCGGCGGGCGGGCGGGTAAATGTTTACACCGGGCCGTGCGCCAGGCTCCGCGCCGCCGACACCAGGCGGCCGGGCCGGGAATGTAAACGCGGGCTGGGGGCCGCAAGCGGGGAGCATCTCGGATGGGGTCGTGGAGAGAGCGCACGGATTATTAAACACCTACTGTATGCAGAGAGCACGACGCCACTAGGCAGTCACAGCACCGAATAACCCGTGCCCTAACGGGGACGCCCGCTGGCGTTGTGGGAGCCCCCAGGGACCCCCTGCTCCGGCCAGAGTCAGGGCGACACTGGGGAGGCGATCAGGGAAGGCTTCTCGGAAGAGGTGCTGTCCAAGCTGAGGCTGAAGGGGAATGAAGTGGGAAGGCAGGGAGGAAGAGTTTCAGGCGGGGACCGGCCTGTGCAAAAGGCCTGGGGGTGCACTCAGTGTTGATCCATTGCTGCCCACTGCAGGACATCTGTCTCTAGGGGAAACTGAGGCTCAAAGACAGGCAGGGAGTCACTTAAGGACACAAGTATGGCCCGGTCCCCCCTCCCGAGTATCCTAAGTGCCAGCTCTTGTCCCACAGTGCCACCTGCCGGAACGCCCTTGCCTCCTTCTTGCACTTGGCCCCTTCTCCCGGGGTTGCTGCTACTCCAGCTTTCTGGCTGTGGTCGGGATACACCAGGCTCTGTCCAGCCTCAGGGCCTTTGCACAGGCTCTGCCCCTGCCCGAAATCCCATTCTCAGATGCCAACCCCTACTGCTGTTCAAGTCCAGACTCCACCATCAGCTCCGCAGGAAAACACTCTGGGACCCCCAGCTGGGGCGGCTCCCCGTTACCCCTGGCACAGAGCCCACCCAGTCCTTGGCAGCGTTCTTCCCAACCTTGTTCAATGGTTCCTTGATGAATCATTTCTGTGTTGTTATTGATCATGAAGCAAGTGGTGTTCAAAGTCAGGGGCCCCGCTACGTGTGCAGCACCTGGCCCAACGCCCTGCACCCCGTTTGTTGCTGGAGGGACAGACGGGGCGGGCGGCTGACCATCCGGTGCCCGCAGGCCGAGGATGCAGCGCTGGAAGGCGGCGGCCCTGGTCTCGGTGATCTGCAGCTCCGTGCTGTCCGTCTGGATGTGTCGCGAGGGTCTGCTGCTCAGCCACCGCCTGGGACCCGCGCTAGCCCCGCTGCGCCGCCCGCCGCGCACCCTGGACGCCCGGATCGCCCGCCTGGCCCAGTGTAAGCCCCACGCCTGGATTGGGCAGACACCCTGACACAGTGGGGTTTCGGGCAGCGGGGGCTGGAGGGGGATCGCAGAGAGCTTTAAAAAGATGAGAGTGGGGAGAGTGCAAATCCCCCCAAGGGTCTGGCGGGGGTGGGGTGGCTGCTGGGAACTGGGGTCCTTCCGTGGGTTTAGCTGTCACAGGGAATTAGGCTCTGGCCCTGAGGGGCCGTGGGGGCCAGATGGAGATTAGACGTGGGCATTGGGCCCAGACGGCCCCCGCAGTGCAGCAGGGGACGTAGGGAGAGGGAGGCTGGATCCCACTGTGACCTGCCCGGGTGCACAGGGACAGGTATGGGGGGGTGGGGGAGGAGGGGCCTGGACAGAGAGAGACCTATAAACTGGAAGAGGGGTCTAGAGAGAGAGAGAGGGAAGGAGACAGCAGGGAAAGAGGACGGGCTACACAAACGTGGGAAAGGACGCTGCAGAGGACGTGGGAGCGCCCACCCCCGGGCCACGCTCTTGACGCACTCCCCACACGCTTCTGGCGCCTGTCGAGTCGCAGGTTCCGTCTGATAGGAGCGGTGCGTGGGTCCTGACCTCGTGTACACGCGCCCGCGTCCACCCGCGCGGGCATCTGGGGCGCGTGTGCGACGCCTACGGTGCCGTGCGGGCACGGGCACGTCCGCTCCCGCCCGCCCTGCCGGCCCACACAATCCTCCTTTCTTGTGCTCACAATGGACAAGGGTGGCCTCGGGCGTGAGCTCTACTTCCCCCCCACACACACACACAGCTGCTCCCCTCCTGCAAGCTGCGAAGTCCCTCCTAGGACACCGGGTCCCTGAAGCCGGGGCGGGGATCCCCAAAGGCGGCGCTCCGGAACCAGGGCGCAAAGCACACGTGGTGGAATTTAAGGCATGGGGAGGGTCTCGGTCCATGGGCGGGTGCCTGCCTGCCCTGCATCCTGTCCCACCGCCCAGCTTATTGGGGGAAGGGAGTGGCCACTGATCCCCCGAAGTCACAGTGCCAGGCTCTGAGCTAATGGGCCGAGGGCGGCATTTACAGCTTGGGAAGGTGGGGCGGGGGGCGCCTCATCTCTGTGTTTCAGACCCTGGGCAAGTAGCGTGCTCACTCCCGTCCCGCCCTCGGGCTTAAAGAAAGCACTGGGGGACCCCATCTCCTGCCCTCTCAGCCCATCCAAGGCAGGGGTAATAAAAGTTTTTTTGAGCAGGCAGGGAAACCTGGCAGCGCCATCCTGTCTGAAGTTTACACGGGCGAAAGTGGCAGAGAAAGCCAAACCTAGAACCTGCGGTTTGTCTGATTTCAGAGACCCCAACAGGAACAGCCACCCCCCCACCCCACCCCGTCCCCGCCCCAACAGCAGACAGTCCCCCTCCTGGGGCCTCCCAGAAGGCTCATTCTTTCACCGTCCAGGTGCACCAGCCTTGGGGCAGGCAAGGACTCAACTCAGGATTTCCTCTTCCAATCACAAGTGTGGCGGCCACCTGCTCCGGGTGGGAGTCCCCTGCTTGCTTTTCCACCATGGGCTCTGCCTGTCATTCCAACGTCTACATTTCTCTCCCTCCTGGAGCTGCAAAGCGCTGGGCAGGGCCAGGGAGAGTGTGACTTGAGGGGCACTGCCTCATAACTGGGAGAAGAGGGCTGTGATTGGGCCAAACTTGGGGGACGATGGGGGTGGGAAGACTGTCCTTTGGGCCCCTCTCTCAGCGTCCTGCTTTAGTGGCGTGGCCTTGTGCACAACTTTACCCTTTTGGATGCTGGTATCCTTTCCTGTAGCATGGGGGTGGCCCTGACAGTAGCTGCCGCCACCCCACAGAGCATGATCCCCGCACAGGCGTCACGCACAGTAGGCCTCAGTACCTGCAGCTCTTGAGTGTTCTGAGATGCTCACGCACTGCAGTTTGGCTCTTTGGAGAATCCAAGACCTACTGCCCAGTGCAGCACAGAGGACGGGAGGGAGAGCATTTGTGAGTAGGTCAGGGATCCACAGACTGAATGTGAGGCCTTTGGGTGGGCGCCCCAAAGAGTTAGACATATGACAGAAGCCAAAGGACAAGGCCTGAGGAAATGGGAAACAGCCTGCCAACACTACCCAGAGAGGGTGTACCAGTGTCTTGAGGCAACCCGGCATAGGGGATGGAGACAGGTGGGGTCCCGGCAGGGACAAGGATTTGGGACACACAATACACACCCATTGAGCAAAAGTGTAAAAGGACGCTCCCACAGAGCAACATAAGGATGGGGCAGATAGAATTGCGAGAGTGGACAGAGGGAAGGAGACATGGGGGGGGGTTGGGAGAGCACCAGAGGAAGTGACTTAGGGCCCCCCTCAAAGCTCAACTCAAGGTGCGTGGCAGGTTCTAGGCAGCCAAACACAGGGCAGGTTCGAGAGGAGCGCTGGTAGCCCTGGGAGTCAGCATGGGAGTCTGAGTATGCACCGCCCCTGTGCTGCCCAGAGAGGGTGCCTGAGCAGCCCAGCAACAGGATGGGCGATCTGGGAGTGGGATGAGAAGCCGGAGGTCCTGGGTCCCAGCAAGATCTTTTCGGCAGGGGAGCAGCCGAGGAGGGCGCCCTCTCCACTGACCCCCTTCTCTCCTCTCTCCCCTCACAGACCGTGCGCTGCTGCAGGGCGCCCCGGACGCGGTGGAGCTGCGCGATCTGACGCCCTGGGCCGGCCGCGCCCCAGGTCCGCGCCGTCGGGCAGGACCCCGGCGGCGGCGCGCGCGAGCGCGTTCGGGGACGCGGCCTTGCGGGCTGCGCGAGCTCGAGGTGCGCGTGAGCGAGCTGGGCCTGGGCTACACGTCCGACGAGACGGTGCTGTTCCGCTATTGCGCAGGCGCGTGCGAGGCGGCCGCGCGCGTCTACGACCTGGGACTGCGGCGCCTGCGCCAGCGGCGGCGCGTGCGGCGGGAGCGAGTGCGCGCGCAGCCCTGCTGCCGCCCGACGGCATACGAGGACGAAGTGTCCTTCCTGGATGTGCACAGTCGCTACCACACCGTGCACGAGCTGTCGGCGCGCGAGTGCGCCTGCGTGTGACCCTACCTCACCCGGCCCAGCCAGACGGAGGCCACGCTCCCCACCCCGACGGCGTCCACCTCTCTGCCTGGCCAGCCGGGCCACAGACTGCGCGTGCGCAGAGGGTGCCGTCGAGGCCACGATACTCTCGCGATAACTGTATTGAGATAAAGTCTGGGAACTCGAGCCCGGCTGGTGATTCACGCTCCAGAGGGGATGTGGTTGCCTGTCTCTCGGAAAGAGGGCGGCGATTGGGGGCTCCACTTGTTGGGTGGTGGAAGGACTCCGTTTGCTTTGATAGGAAAGTACAATCGAAGAGTGCAGTTCAGGGGAGTATAAAGAAAAGAGGGGTGAACGGAGGCAGTATCAGCGGGGACCGTCCTTTCCATCCCCGGCATGTCCCCATCCGGTTTAGGTGGACTCAGGTCTCTCGCGACCGACGGCCCTCCTTCGGCCCGGTCCACCCCCACCAGGGTGAACTCGAAGCCGCGAGCCCTTTTCGCCAGCTAAAAATGCCCGTGCGCTGCCCACCTCGGCGGGGACAGGTCTGGGTCCGGCGCCAGTCCCATCCAGGGCCCAAGCTGGCGCCTGCTGGGTCAGAACTGGGTCCCTGGGGACCTGGGTCCTGGGCCCTTAAAAGCCCTGGCCGCGCCTCGAAGGGGGATTTACGACGAGCCCCGCCGAGGACGGAAAAAGCTCTGCGCGGTGTTTGGATACGCCGCGGTGTCACCTTGATGCTTGGCAGGCCCCGCCGGCGCGGGGTGTTGTGTTCCCGGAGCGCGGGGAGGGGCCTGCGTGCCACGAGCTGAGGAGGGTGGGGGAAGTCGGCTAGGATCCCAAGCTGGCATGGACCCCTCCCCTTCTGCCCTTCAGATTGGGGGTCTTGAGGGTGCTATTTCCCCGTTTTCCTGACTTCCCTTCCCGCCCCCTCTGCGCTGATGAGGACAGTTTCTGCGTCCCAGGCTGGGGGCTCCCAAGAGCACGGTCTTTTCCCCGCAGCTGTGTCTCCTACTGACGTGCAGGACTTCCACACGGAGCCCCCGAGCAGGACTGGGCCTCCAGGCCCCAGCCGTGGGTGGTCTGCTAGAAGGCAGGGCTGGCTGGGGTTCCCGCCCGCCCCCGTAGGCTTTTGACTCTGAGGTTTGGGGCAGTGGATTCCCGCTTGTATTTGCGCTGACTCAGCCTGGGGGTGGCAGGGAGGCTGGAGTCCCCAGACGCTTCGGAAACACCAGTGGTGCCCGTTCAGAGCCTTAGTTTCCTCATTCTGGCTGATCCAGGAGCCTCAGAGATGGAGGATGCTCAGCCAAAGGCACGAGCCTGGGTGTGTGGCCCTGGAAACTCCCGCGCCTTGGTGTACGTGGGGGGGCGGGGGGGGGAGTGAGAAGGGCACCAACCCAGGCCTCTGGGGACCTGGGCCTCCTGTCTCTCACCCAGTTCCAGCGCCCCAACCACAGGGTGCTGGCGCAACTCACCGGAGAATTGGAAATGTAAACAAGACCGCCCCTGCAGGCCTGGGGCTGGGGTTCTCTGCATGTGTACACACACACACACACACACACACACGCACACGCACACGCACACGCACACGCACAGAGACCCGCCCACATAGGGACTCAGCAGATAGGATCATAGAGCGCTTTGTTTGCTTCTGCTTTTTGGGCCTTATTAGGTAGCTCAGGCTGGTCTTGAACTTGAGATCCTCTTGCTTGTGCTGAGATTATAGGAGTGCACCCGCTTGGCTCATGTTCTTACACTGTCAGACTGCTCCCTTGTAGAGGGCATCCTCAAGGTCATAACTGGTCCACCAGGCACATTGTGCCACACCAGCCCTAGTCTTACGCTGACAGGCAGACATGCAGTGAGTCACAACGCAGCTGCACATACAGGCCCCCGACACACCCACCAACACACGCACTGAGACCCAGCCTTGCACCCAATCACATAGCAACCTATGCCCATCAATGTAGACTGCCTCACACACCCAGAGAGACACCCTCACTATTTCACACTCAAGGACACACTGATAGAGGGTGTGGTGCACATCTATAATCCCAGCACTTGGGAGGCTGACCAGGAGGATTCAGAGTTGGTGGCCAGCCTGGGCTGCATAACAAGATCCTGTCTGTCTCCAAAAAACAAGTAACAAAAGCCCATTCCCAGCGTCACGCACTCCTTCAGTCACACGTTTGAGTGCCACAGGCACACAGAGTCATACCCAGTGATAGGCCCAGAGCAACTGTACACTGACAGTGATACCAGAGCACAGCTGTGCTTATGCTGGTGCTGATTGTCACACATGCTCCTCACCCTCCTTCCTAGAACCCCTGACCTGCTCTATTCTGCCCCAAACAGCTTGACGGGCACACCAAGCCCCACCGTGCCCTGTGCACCAGGCAGGGAAGGCCCTAGTCCCAGCTCTGCCCACTTTGACCTCCAGGCAGACCTATATCCTTCTCCCCACCTCGTCTGAGTCCTGGCCTCCACACCTTGCTGGAGCCACACCTTGCTGGAGCCACCCCCAGAGAGCCCTGCCCTCGGGGCTTGACCTTGAGCGCCATACAGCGTTTTCCCACTTACTGATGGTTGGGGCTGGACCCTGCTCGGCTGTGGACGCTGTCCTGTGTACCACAGGATTAGAGCACCTCTGGTCTCTGCCACCAGAAGACTTCAATCCTCTGTCCCCCAGTAGTGACAACCAAGAATGTCGCTGGGCATTATGTTCCTGTGCCTAGCTAGCCACCATTTTCTCCCCTTTTAATAGCATCCTGATAAATCTTCTCCTAAAACAGAACAAAAAGCCAAAAATACTGTCACTTGACATGGTTGAGTACCCCCCCAGGGAGGGGGGTAGAGTCGGCCTGGGGTGAGGCCCGCTGTTCTAGAATGAGGAGGACACATTGGCTTTTTGTACAGCATTGCCACCTGGAAAATGGTGCCACCATCTCCACGAACCCCGAGCAGGTAACAGTGCAGGGGAGTCACTAACACGTGAGCAGCCCCGCCCCCAGTGGGCCCGGGGCCCACTTCCCGGACCCAGTGTCTTGGTAGGCGAGGTCCCCGATGGGTGAGGCTTTAGCAGGAGAGACCCAAGCAGATGCGAGCCAGCAGGGGAGACCCCAGCGCGAAGCCTGGCAGGTGAGGATCCAACAGGTGAGACCCAAGAAGGTGGGGGCCCAGCAGGTGAGACGCCGGTAGCTGAAGTTCTAGCAAGTGAGACTCCAGCAGGCACAGCCGGGGCTGGCCGTGTCACGTGAACCAGGAGGCGATGCTGGGCACCGTCTGGTACCTGTGGTCCTGCTGCAGTCGCCTGCAGGCCTTGCAGAAGGCCAGGGCCCAGCTGCTGGTGTGTGGCTGCAGCGTCTGGCGCCAGCGAAAGTAGCTCAGGTAGCGGGCGTGGTCCCTGTCCAGCGCCTGCAGGTGCTGGGCCAGGTGGCGGGGGCTCGGGAAGTCATTGACGTGGATGAAGGCGTCGGGTGGCAGGAAGCGCTCGTAGTTGCGCCGGCTGGGCCCCAGCACCACGGGCACGGCGCTGGCCTGCAGCGCGTTCCTCCAGAGCTTCTCCGTGATGTAGTCGGGGTGCACCGAGTTCTCGAAGGCCAGGTAGAACTTGTACCGGGTCAGCCGCTCCAGCATGGTGTCTCGCGGCAGTGGCTTGTGGCCGCCACCGAACACGTCCACATGAAGGTGTGCTTGCAGCTTCTGGAAGTACTGCACCCGGGCGGAGTTGGCCCTCCAGTTGGACACCACCCAGGCCACCAGCTCGGTCTTGGCAGAGAGGTTGACCTGGGCCTCGACGGCAGGCCTGGCCCCAGCTCCAGCCAGCCATAGGGCGTGAAGATGTCCGAGTCACTGCGGTAGGACATGGTGAGGTTGAAGTAGCCGTCCATGGCAGGCAGCTGCTGGCAGTGGCTGGGGGACTCCATGGAGAACCACACCCAGCGCTGGCCGGGTGGCCGCAGGTTGGGGGGCAGCTGTGCCTTGGGCCAGGAGCTGACCTCGCGGTGGTGCACTATGACCGCATCTGCCTGCGGGTACAGGCTGCGGTTGGCGGTCAGCTGGCAGTCGGCTGTACCGGGCAACATCTCAGAGCAGCGGGACAGAGCCACAGGGGTGTGGAAGGGCCATGTCCACAGTAAGATCAGCAGGGGTGGGTGGGCAGGAGACCCCACGGTGGAAGCTGGCCCTGTTGACACTTTGGGAGTCGTGGGGACAGAGGTCGTGGCGGGAGTCCCAGGGGACCGAGCAGGGCTGTCTTTTGACACTCGTAGGTAGGAGAAGAAACACACGGCCAACAGCAGCTGCACGAGCATTCCAGAGAGCGAGTGGCGCCAAGGACATGGTGACTTAGCCCTGGGGAACGACTCCATGAGTTGGGGGAGCTGGAAGACTAGCAGAAGGAAGATAGCAACATAGATGTCAGTGATGTGACACACGAGTTATGACTGCTCATGAGCCCTGAAGGACTGCTACCAGCTGCAGAGCTGGAATTCCAAGCAAGGGCACTGGGCCCCGGTGTTCACCCCCTTCTAGCCCCGGGGCAACACTTGGGCAGGGGTCTCCAGGGAAGATGGGATAGATCCCAAGGACTCAGGTCCCACCTTGACCCCACCCTTTTCCAGACGCTTCCCCAGGCTGAGGAGAAGACAGAGGTGGACATAGTCGAGGCTTGAATCTAGGGCTCTATCTGGGAGGGGTACAATGGAACGGGTTTTGAAGATTATATAGGAGCTTGCCCACAGCTTTCCTGGGTGAGGAAACAGTGAGTGCAGAGGCCTGGACATGAGAGAGCCTGACCAGTGTGTGGGAAAGCACAGGATTAGCTTAGGGCTAGCTGCTTGAACTTGACTTTTTTTTTGGTGCTGAGAGTGGAGCCCAGAACTGGCAGCATGCTAGATGGATGCACCACACACCTTAACTTGATTTTATATTCATGTTGTGTTTCATTCAACAAACACTCAAAGAATGGCCCTTGGGTCCCATGCTGGGTGATATTGGGGCCCCAGGCACGGCCCCTGGACACCCTCTTCCCTGCCCTATGGGAGGAACAGAGGCTGGAGAAGGGGTGGGCACAGGTGGGAGGGCAAACTCAGGGGAGGCCTGAGACCGGGGCACCTGGGGGAGGAGTGGGGGGAGACACAGAGCCCAGGGTGGTCCCTGTTTGTCCTGGACACATCCACGTGAAGACCTCCCCCTGGAGGTTGAGACGCTGAAGGACAGGGAGGGACCCACTTTCAAGGGGTAGATGGGACGAGGTACGGAGGTTGGGGGGTTCAGTTTGGGGGAGACCTCTTGCAAAGGGCAAACTGCAGACACTGGGGGAAGGACCTTGGGGCCTGGGAAGGATTCTTTCTCCTAAACCAGAACACCCTGGAGTATAGCAGGTGCACATAACACTTGAGACCCAGGGACACAGGGGACAGTGCCCAAGCAACCACCAGAGCAGGAAGTGGGGACAGTGGTACCCGCCCAGCAGATGGGCCTGGCTTTGGTTGCCTCAAGGTCTGTCTGGTCAGTGTCCCTCCACTCCCAGATCCTTCCTGTCCCCACAGGAGTCACCAAGTCCAATCCCAGACCTCTGGGGCACTAATCCAAGACATAGCCTTTCACCTTTCTGCTTCTTGCAACACTGGAGTCATCCATTTTACAGATGGGGAAACTGAGGCTGGGAGAGTCCTGTGGGTCTTTTAAAATTATTTCAAATTACTTTGATCAATGCTTATCTGCAAGGATTAATACCACATTCATTAAAAATCATTCAGATTGCAGGACACCAGTGGCTCACACTGTAATCCCAGCTACTCAGGAGGCAGAGATCAGGAGGATTGTGATTCAAAGCCAGTCCAGGCAAATAGTTCTCGAGACCCTATCTTGACTGGGAAGCGAGGTTTTATTTAGGGGTTCCAGAATCTTAAGAGTCATTCACTTCATGATAAAATATTCTCTCTTCCTGTAACAAAATAGTTCCAAGATATCACTAGTTTAGTCGAAATCTGCCTAAAGTGGACCATGTGGCTCCTGATTTTATTTTTTTGGTGGCAGTAGGGTTTGAACTCACAGCTTTGTGCTTGCTAGGCAGCACGAGCCACTCAAGCCACACCCCCAGCCCTTTTTGCTTTAGTTAGTTTTCTGATAGGGTCCCGTGGTTTTTGCTGGGGCTGGTCTCAGTCTGTGATCCTCCTATCTCTGCCTCCCACATAGCTGGGATTACAGGTATGAAGTACCATGCCCAGCCTTCTGCTAATTTCTTTTGTTCCCATTCTGTGATAAGAGTCTGGTCCAACGAAAGTCTTCAAGTCATAGGCAAAGATGGACACAAATGTCCTGCCTTGAATTTTACAAACTGTCGGTCCCATCAGGACACCTGCTTAGTTTCTGACAGAGTTTCTCATACTTCATTGTAGGCTTATTATTTCTTGTTCTTTTGTGGTGCTGGTGATGGACCTAGGGCTTCCAGTATGCCAGGTGAGCACTCACCACTAAGCCATACGCCTCCAGCCCCAGTTGCAGGCTCATTTTTAGGGCAACCCCTTTTTGTGCACCCAGTTGGGCTGGGTTAGTTTGAACCTGCCTTCATGGTTGTTGTGTTCAGACTTGTTGTGTCCCCTAAGGTTCGTGTGTGGGCTGCTTGGTCCCAAGGGTGGTGGTCTCGGGAGGTGGTGTGGGACCTTTAAGAGGCGGGGTCACTGGTGCTCAGGGGTCCATAAGGGTGACCTTTAATCCTTTCCAATAGCGGGGCTCCAGTGACTTTAGGACCAGCCACTAGACTCTGCCCATGGAGGTGAGGAAGGCAGCTCTCAGCGACCTCTGAGCCCTCTGAGTGGCTCTCTGCCTTCCTGCTTGGAGTGCCATCCAGTTGTTAGGGACATGAAGTCCAGACCTGTGGTTTGTTTGTTTGCAGTACTGGGGTTTTGAACTCAGGGCCTTCACCTTGAGTTACTCCTCCAGCCCTTTTTTGTGACGGATTTTTTTTGAGATAGGGTCTCTGGAACTATTTTCCTGGGTTGGCTTTGAACCTCGATCCTCCTGATATCTGCCTCCTGAGTAGCTGGGATCACAGATATGAATCACTGGCGCCCAACCTCCCAGGTATTTTGTCACAGCAATAGAAAGCTGACCGTACAGGTGCTGTTTTGATTCCTAGGATACCCTAAGTCATTCCTGCTCTTTCCTCCCAGGGCGGTGGGCCATCTTGTCACTTCTGAGCCCCCTTCTGAAATGGTTGTGATTTGAGTTATCACCCAGCTGGGCATTGAGAGTCTGGAGCCCCAGCTACTTGGGATGCTGAGACACAAGGAGCCCCTGAGTCTGGGAGTTCAAGACCTGCCTGGGCAACATAGTCACATTTCATTAAAAAAAAAAAAAAAAAGTTCTCAGTAAGATTTACTTCTGCTTCAGCAGGGTAGTTCTGGATAGTTAAGTAGTCAAACAACTTCTGCTGTTTTAACAAATTCAAATTAATTCCTTTTGCTCATCAGCCTTCAATGCCTTGGTAAGAAATTACCTGAATGCTAAGCTGTACAGTTCAACCAGTCTTTAGAGTCCAACCACCTCCGTCTGGGTGCACTCAGACATTTTGCAGGCAAATTCTATGAGCGTCCTAAGAACACGGGAGTCTGGTTCTACAGGTTTTCTTCAAGCTGTCTGTTGTTTCACTGACCTGTGGCCTGGCTTACATGTTCTACCTGCAGGGCTGGAAGATATAGGCCTTTAGGTCTTTTAGGATCCAAAACTGTAGCCAGGCACTGGTGGCTCACACCTGTCATCCTAGTTACTTGGGAGGCTGAGATCAGGAGGATCAGGGTTCAAGGCCAGCTACGGAAATAGTTTGCGAGACCCCCATCTCCAAAATAACCAGAGTTAAATGGACTGGAGGAATGACTCAAGAGGCAGAGTGCCTGCTTTGCAAGTGTGAAACCCTGAGTTCAAACCCCAGTCCTGCCAAAAGGAAAAAAAAAAAACAGATGCAAACTGCAGCACCCAGCTACAGCTCAGTGAGAGAAGCAGACAGAAAAGGCCACAGAGTGACTCTGTTGACAGGAAATGTGCAAAACAGGAGAATCCAGGGACAGGAAGTGGATTGGAGGTGACTGGGGGCGGAGGGAAGAGAAAACAGGGAGCTACTGCTTAATGGGTAACAGCCCTTCTGTTTGGGCTGCTGAGAAGCTTCTGGCAATGGATGGTAGGAATGGCTGATAGCAATGTCATCTTTCTCTCTTATCTTGCTCCTCTCCCCCTCCCTCCTTCCCACATGGTTGCCATGTGGTGATGGTCCCCACTTTGCTACAGCTGAGGTATGGGGACCTCACCCTGCGGTGCCCACGCTCTCCATGGGGCAGAGCTGGTGGAAACCTCGAAGTGCAGAGGGGGACACCTGACAGTGACTTGAGTGATAGAAAAGGAAGCAGCTGCCGAATTCCAGGCTCATGGCAACATTTCAGGAAAGACATTGACCACAAGCCCTTGGGGCAGCAGTGCCAACCTAAGTGGAAGGGACAGTGACCTTAGGCCACATGCTGCTCCTCCCCTGGGCTCTTGGGCTACGGGGTTGACTTCAATATGGTGTGTGGTCCTGGGTCTATGGCAACCCCCCGTAGGTGACAGTGAAGTCTTTGGCTGTGACCCCGAGGAGGGCAGACTGGGAGAGGTGGAAGAGGGGAGGTCAAATCACACTCTCATCAACCACACTGTTTTCCCTAGAAAAAGATCAAAGGTTGAGAAAAACAAGACCAAAATAGAAATGAAACTGTCAACTGGATGTGGAGAGCACCCCTGAAATCCTAGCACTTGGGAAGTGAAGGCAGGAAGGTTAAAAGTTTGAGCGTTCAAGACCTTTGAGCACCTAATGACGCACACCTGTAATCCCAGGAGGATCACAGTTCACAGCAGCCCAGGCAACTAGTTCATGAGATCCTATCTTGAAAAAAATCCATCACAAAACAGGGCTGGTAGAGTGGCGCAAGTGGTAGAGCCCCTGCTTAGCAAGTGTGAGGCCCTGAGTTCAAAGCCCAGTGCTGCCAAAAAAGAAAGAAAAGGAAAGTTTAAGGTCATGGGTTACATAGCAAGTTCCAGGGTAGCCTAGGCTACATAACAGGCCCTGACTCAAAGATAGATAAATAAAAATAAATAAACCCTCAGCTGGGTGCCAGTGGCTCACGTCTGTAATCCTAGCTACTTGAAAAGCTGAGATCAGGAGGGTCAAGGTTTGAGGCCAGCCTCAGCAAATAGTTCATGAGACCCCCAAAATAAGCAGAGCAAAATAGGCTGGAGGTGTGGTTGAAGTGGTAGAGCGCCTGCTTTGCAAGTGTGAAACCCTGAATTCAAACTCCAGTCTTACCTAAATAAATAATCAGAATCAACCAAACAAAAG